TAAATGTATAACTTCATGGGGCTGAACAGCACGGCCGTAGCTATTCAGCCCAATGTGTCCTGCACATGCAACTGCAAAAGGTCTTTGTTCCAGAGCATGGAGATCAGTAAGTACTCGTCCTGCTGCTCCCGGGGAGGGTGCGGGAGGTGCCGGCGGTGCGGGAGTGCCCGGCGGCCCCGCTGCGGGCGGGGAAGTTCCCGCGGGGGCTCCCGGGACCCTCGGCTGCGATGCGCGTTCCCGGAGTGCTTTCCGTCCCCGCTCTCTCTCATCTGTTGCGGTTGGGATGTCGGTGCGGGTGTGACACGGGCTGGAGGAGCTGCTCGGGGATCAGCTCCCGCGGCCGCTCCCCGCCGGTACCGGCGCTGAGATCCCCGCTCCTCCCCATCGCGGCTCCATCACCGCCCGCGTCTCGCCCCTTCCCCGCGATCGATGCCCCGGTACCCCTGCCCCGCGCCTTCCCCTCCTGCGGGGGTGATGCTGGGGGTCCCCGAGCCTCCTCCGGGGGTCTGTGCCACCTCCGTGTGAATCTCCCTCCTCCCGGTACCGGGAGGGCACCGCCGGCCGGACACCCGAGTGGAGCTTGCATTTGGGAACCCGTTTCCCCCCTCTGCCGCCCCTCGAGGCTTTTTTGTTCCGAAGGGCGATTTGGGTTTTTTCATTAATATTTTTCAACGCTCGCAGAGTAGCTGTGAGGGCAGTGCCTGACCTAAATATCCACCGCTTCTCTGTGTGCTCTTTCCCTCTTGGAAATGAAATGCACAGAGGTGAGAGAGAAGGAATATTACTGCTGAGGGGAGAGGAATGAGTTGGGCTCTTTGGCAGTTCTAAGCAAATGGTATTTTCTGTAAAGGGAAGGTTTTCAAGGCATCCCAGCCCGGGAGGGTTGTCAGGATTGTACCCTGCTTAGCACCTTGTTCAGCGCCGTGAAATCCAAACCCTGCACAGACTAATGCAAAATGGCCCAAAAGGAAAACTTGGGAAAGAGTCTGGATTTTGCATATATTCCTGGCACTGCGACGGGGCAGGCTGGCGCTCGGTGTGTGCAGGGAGAGCCAGCTGAGCTGTGCCTGTTTCTGCTAGCACAGRATCTGCCCCGTTACCTCCAGCGGGGCTGCAGAGCATCTGTCCCTTGGTATTTTGGATGGCTTTTGTCCAGTGTCATCTSCCTTCTCCTTCTCCAGTTTCACCGTTGTTTAATTCAGGTGTCTGAGTCCCGGGGAAGGTCTGCAGACATTTGTATACCGGGTACTAAAATGTGTTCATTCTGAATTTTAGCATAAACCATACCCTTTGTACTGTATGCACTTTTAATCTTGATTTAATCTCATTCGTGTTCAGACAAAACTAAGCTGGATTTGCCTGATTTTATTAACACTACCGGTACTGAATAGACCATTATTCTTCCCTGACTTTAACAGGCCGGGCTAGATGTGCATACCAATAGCAGTGTATAAATAATGAAGATACAGTTCTTTTTTGTGTCAGCCAGTTGCTGAACATAAGCTGTGTCCCACAGAATCCCAAGGATGAGAGACTCTACTTTGTGTCTGATCAAGGCTCGTGGTTATGATAAAAGTTGTGAATTAAAATGTGTAATGTCTTTTGAAGAAAAACCTTCTATTCCAGTCTAACTCTTGGCATGAGGTTTTGTTGGAACAACTCAGGCTTTTAATTTCACTCCTTGACTTTTTAGAAATAGCATAGTTTATAATTTTTCCCCCCATTTTTTTTTTTTTCCAGCGTATGAAAGGCTTGGTGAGAAGCAGGTGCTGCTTATGGATGGGGGGTGAGAGAGGCTGGAGGCAGTGAATYACACCGGGGCAGATCTTGCCTGAATTTGGATGGGTATCGCGGGAGCCTCGTGCCTGATGCTCCCGAGGTCCTTCCCTGACTTGTCCCCTGCCCTGTGTCAGCTCTGGGCTCCTTCACTCAGGTTCCGAGTTCCCATTAGCTCCTGGGAGCCTTGGACTGAGCTCCCTTGCTGCTGCCCTTCCTCCTTTCATGGTGGTGTAGGTTTCTTGTCGCCGATGTTATTATTTATTTGCTGCTGATGGCGAGCAGCATTCGCTCACCTCTGTGCTACAGGAGATCTTTGGTGGCACTGCAGGGGCTGTTACCTGATCGCTCCCTCCACCTGGCTCCAGTGGAAAGGACAGAGCTCAGCCTGCCCGAGAGAAATTCACTCCACAGCGTTTTTCCTCCTCCAGTCGCTCGATTTTCCCTATCTTTCTGATGCGACTTTTTGAGGGAACCTCGGMGCAGCTACCACCAGATGCTCCTTAATTTTCCAGCCAAAAGTTACCAGGCTGGTAACGCTTCGGGAAAGCAGCACAGGGAGGAACACGCCAACTCCTCTGATTTATAACTCTCTAAATAGGTTAACTGTCCAAGCGATGCCCAAACCCCTTTTCCTCGCAGGCTTTATTCCGTATGGCGGCTGCGGCGCTGCGGTGGAGGAAGCAGCTGGTTTCTGTGTGTGGCGCTCCCAGATTAGGATTAGAAAAGGGTTTTTTGGGGGCGGGGGCGCGAGTCTCGCCCGCCGCCGGGCTGGAGTGCCAATATGCCGGGCGGTGCTAAGCAGCCAGACGTCTGCAGCAGTGGGCTCTAATCGCCTGGGCTGGGTGCAGGAGGTCAGGGGTGAGCGCTGTGGCGGAAGAAGCTGTAAATAAGCGATTATTTAGCGCGGGGAGCGGAGCGAGAAGCCGTTCCTGCCTCCCCAGCGGGCACCGGCGCTGCCCGCTCTGGACACGGGCATCCTGCGGGCACCTGGGCATCGCTGCCGGAGGGGTGAGGACAGCTCTGGATGCTTCTCTGCAGAGGCTCTGCTCGTGCAGAGGTGTTATCCGAAGGGTTTGGGATTTTTGGGAGCTCGCTGGGCCGAGCGAACCGTGAGAGCGGGTTCCTGCCCAAGCCAGGACCCGGAGGTTTTCACATTCTTTGGTTTAATAAAAAACCAAATGCGTACGGCTCGAACAGGGATCGAGTCTCCTCCTGCCACTTTCACGCTGCTTTTGTGACAAACGTGTTTCTTTCCTGACACTCTGTCATCGGCAGTTATGGCTTATTCCAGTGGATAAAACCACGTGCTTTTTTATTCCCYCCTGGAATTGTCCTCATGGAGGGAAGCCAGAGCTGCTCCCGAGGTCCCAGCGAGCCCCAGAGYGCTTGCACAGAGGATGTTCAGTTTGTGGCTTCTCGGTTTGACCTCAGCCAGACCGGGGAGTTCTCTGTGTCTGGTTCTGGCTGTGTCAAGCTCTGCTTYTTGCTGAGATCAGCGTCCCAAGGTGCTCTCCTGGAGGGGCAGGGTGTGGGTGGCTTTTGCTTATGGTGGCCCAGGAGCTGTCTRTGTGTGCCCTGGGCCATCCCAGGGGACCCGGACATTCTGCAGTCCCAACCCTGCAGGTCCCATGCCTCATATCCAAAGAAATGCTTGATTCCCTGAGCCTGGGAAGCACAGGGGTCTTGTTAAAAAAATACAGTTTATTTTGTGCCCTCAGGTAGTGGGTTTAATCTTAGCGTTTTATAACTGATGTCAGATCGGAGAATGAAAAGATACAGAGGAGAAAACGCAAGGAAAAGCAGTCAAACTTTGTTTTGTTCCTGTGGGTGAACACCTGGATTGTGCTGCGCTGCACAGCGGGACCAGCAAGAGCACCAGAGGTGATCCTGTATAATCAGAGGTGATCATTTATAACATGGAGACAGGACAGGGTTCATTCTCCCTTTTCAGTCAGTGTTTTCTGAGGGTGTTTGCTGTAGTAAGTCCTGTTACCTTCTGCCGTGGAGGCATCTCCCACCCCTTGAATGTTTGCCTTCATTTGTTTAGCAGTGTTTTCAGATCCTGGTTGTGAGAGGACTGACACTGGAGGGTGTGTAGAGAACAGCGACCATATTCTTTTGCTTAAAGCTTGGAATTCCCAAGGGAGTGTCTGGGATCATCTCTAAATTTTTGGGATATTGAATGAGCTGCTACCACTGCTTCCTTTGTGAATGGAGAAAAGAGCACCTATGAACACACGTTCTTACTTTTATTTACTGTTGCTCACTAGACATACTAGTATTTTTAGATTTCCCAGACTGAAGTTGGTGGTTTGATAAATCCAGTTTTAGAATGAATTTGTAAACCTAAATTATGAGTGGAGAGACATGAGGAGACCTTTCCARGGGAAGTACCAAACTACATGGTGTCACTAATAGAGGGTAATTACAATCCAGCTCCTTTCCTGAGTAACTCATTGTACAGTCCTGTCTGTCCGTGCTGTTTCATTCAGGTAGCAGCAGCCGTCAGAATTTGCTAAGCCTAATTAGTGAAAAAAAAAAAGGTCATTTATTTGCAGTGGTGTCTCTTGTGAAAACTGCCAAGCAGTTTGCWTCCTGGAGGGAGATCCCGTCCTGGTGTGTGGTTTGTCTGGTCGGATCCCTCCTGTTCTCTGGGACACAGTGCATCTGCTGCTGGCAGGTTTTATCAGAGTGATAAAGCCTGGCTGGAGAGCCCGTGAGCAGAGAGGTTCAAGGGCCACTCGCTGCAATTGAGCGGAAACTCCGTTCACACCACGAGCKCTCCCAGACGTCCATAAAGCACCGGAGTCACTGATGGGGATGTTTTAATGCAGTGCTCTTCCTGTCTGTGTGGCTGAGCTGCTGGGTGATTATTTTATAGCTCTTTTGGGTGGCAGAGGTAGGTCACTCGGGCAGGTCCCAGGTGAGGAAACGCATCACGGAGCTGCTCCGTCGGGTCTGGTACCCGGAGGAACGGGGAGCATTCCTGTGGCAGAGGATCTGACCCCTCATCTCCACCTTCCACAGCTCATCAGTGGCTGCTGGGCTGCTGCTTCCTCGCTGCAGTGGTTTGGGAGCTCCTCCAGGAGCCATGGGTGAGTGCAGGGTGTAGGGGAGAGGGGAAGGGGCGATCACGGTGCTTGGTGTAGGAACAGCTCCCTGGGTGCCAGC